CAATCTTGACCAAAAAATTAGCGAAGTTAGGGAGGCTATGACTATGACTTTCCTTGACCCTCACATGTTCTATGTAGAAAATTCAGATTTCATGTTTTGTAAATCTAACAGTATTATTTTGTGTATTCATTGGTGACGTTAGATACATTCAATAGTAGTTTTTTTTTTACCCTAATTATTAATGTGCAGGATAATGGCTAAAACAAAAGGAAATCCTTTAAGGCAAAAAAGTTGTTCTGGTTTAAGCAAGTTCAAAGAGGCATATCGTGGCAAGTATACAACACAGGGAAATGATTTGAAAAAACTCAACGTAGAAGCAGCTGCAGCATGGAAGAACAAGATCACTATAAGCATCTGGCTAAGGAGGAAAACACTGGTATAAAAGCTTATGAGGTATGTTGTTTTTTATCTCAAGCATGAAAAATGTGATGAATTCAAGTAATGGTGCTGACTTGTTTTACTTGGACAGATTCCATTTGAGACAAGGTGTTCTCCGACAAAGATAAAGGAAGTTTTTGATTATATCAAAAAGCAAAAATCTTTGAGGGATAGGGTTAATAGAATAGGATTTGGTAAGCTTTTAAATATTAAATGTCACAAGTTGCCTAGAGATTTATGCAACGAAGTGATGAAGGCATTTGATCCTCTTACATCATCCCTTTTCATTAGAGGTCAAAGGAAAGTCATCAATGGCAAAGCAGTTCATGCCTTACTTGGCTTGCCTAATGATAGAGAGATAGTTGATATGAATGGAGATAAGAATAAATTAAAGTTATTGAACAAGGAGTTTAAAAAAGTATCCTATAATGTAATTAAGGACAGGATTGAGAGTGACAGAGGAGAGAGTGACAGCACGAGTTCAACTTGAGAAGGCAAGTGATCGTGGCATTTTGTATCACCCTTCTCGACGACATGACAGCTTCCCAGTAGAGCTTCCAAAAATGACTTCATTTTATGATCCAGTAAGGGCAAAATGATGGTTGTTAATTAGCAAAGTTATTTTTTATATAATTTTAAACATATGACATTTTATATGGTACAGGATATAAAAGAGGTATACAGAGATATTGTAACCTTTACATGTGGAATTGCACAAAGACTCCTCAAGCTCCAAGATAAAAGAAAAGGAGAGGAAGTTGTTGAACAGCATGATGGTGAAGAGGAAGAGGAGGAAGAGTTGGAACATGATGACAAAGAAGAGGAAGGAGAAGAGACAGGAGATGAAAATGAAAAGGAGGGAGAATTCGGAGAAGATGAGAAGGAGAAAAAGGAAGGACAAGTAGAAGGAGATGAAAATGAAGAGGGAGGGGGATCCAGAGAAGATGAAAAAGAAGAAGAGGAAGGACAAGTAGAAGGAGATAAAAATGAAAAGGAGGGAGAATCGGGTGCACAAGAAAAAGTAGAAAAGCCAATTAGAAAAAAAGACTCTAAGGGTGAAAGGACACTAAGACGGTCACAACGACAAATAGTTAGCACTATTCGTTCACCTTTTTTGGATGATAGAGGGAAGGCAAAACGAGGACATGAAGAAAGAGGACAATGTACAGAGAAAGAAGTTTACCAATACTGTACAAAGTCTATTTCACCCAATGAGGGACATGAGTATGCTATTCAACCTTACTAGTTCATGTGTTCATAATCGATTGGTTGATATAATTTTATTTTCTGTAACAAGAAAATTGTGGAGATTGAGCAGTATTATGTGACAAGATATGAATGCAAGTGTCTAGGTCCTCGACAATGGATCAGTAGTTCGGTGAGCAAGTGTGCTAGTTAAAATAGATCAAGTTATAGTAAAATTTTAATGTAACTATAATTTTGTTATGTAGGTTGTTACATTAATTGAAAGACTTTTGGTCAATGAGCAAAAGGAAAAGGATCAACTTGTGCGACGACACATTTTTGATTCAGATTTTACGATTTGTCTTACGGTTTAATTCCTTTGTTTTATTAGGTGCTTACATGTTACAAGTGTTACATTTTTTCATTTCAGGGAACCATAATCTACCAATAAAAAAGATGGGACTTGGATAGCCATTTGAAGGACTTCATGCCAACTACCATCGGGTATAACATAGGAGATTGCGATTTTATTTTTTTCCTTATAGTGTTTGCATTGCACTGGTTTTGCTATGTTGTGGAGCCAAAAACAGCCACAATGTATGTACTGGACTCGATGCTACCATCTGGTAAAGAATTAAAGAAGAAAAAGAAGGATGTAAAGAAAGCAAAGGAAGCGATGTTGCCGAAAGAGAAGGAAAAAATGGCATATTTTATGGTATGCCTTTTCCCATATAATGATATATAAAATTTTGTTGGTGAAAGCTTCTCATTCACTTTGTTCTTATTCTTAAAAAAGCAGGTTTGTAGAAATATTAATGAAACTGAAACCTGAACTTGTTGATGACAATTATGACCTTGAGTTGAAAGTGGTGCCTATAGAATAGCAACTGACGACGTGAGTTAAAAAGCTGAAATTGTGTACATGTAATTAAGTGTATATTTCCCAACTACGTGCTGACAGATTTCATACTTTTTGTAGATCTGATTGTGGAATGTATGTCATCTTTTGCCTTAGACAGTGGAATAATACTGCACGAGAGGAATGGGGCGGCCTTACTATGCCTCCTCTAACAATGGTAGGAACAAATGTTAAAGTTAAGATATAATGTGTTATGTGTGACAGTTTTCTATCTTGTGAGTTGACTTTATCTGATTGTGTAGGAACAATTCAGTGAAATGAGGAGTGAGGTATTGTATTGGTTGGTAACTCATCCATACAACAGAGTGGGCTCTCAAGTCATGACGTCCATTTCAAATGCTGGGCATGCACGATCTAAAAGATTGAAATCATAGTGTAGACATTTGTGATATGTAAATTAAACCTTTATGTAATTAAGTTTTTTTCCGTGGCTTCTTGTAAATGATACAGCAATTAATTTAAAAAAAAATTTGACTACATGTTCAAGAAATTTGACAAACCGTTATTGATTTTCATTGACTCACGTTACTTTCAAAACTGACGTTCGGTTTTTCACAATATATATTACGCAATTTTCAAGTGAGGTTGGTGGAACACAAATTGTGCCTAGCAACTTATCCTTACATGATGAATTCCCAATTCACGTTAGGCTCTTTCAAAACATATGTTCAGCTTTTTTCCAAGTTAGGTTAGGACAGTCGCAAAAGACTTTACTGGAACCCACTTGTGCCACGTCGATTTTCATCAAATAATAAATTTCTAAGTCATATTAGGAACTTTGACAACATATGTTAGTTACTTTTCTAACTTAAGTTATCAAATTCTCATGTGAGGTTGATAGAACAAAACTTGTGCTAAAGGGCTTATCCTTACACAGTCAATTCCCAAGTCATATTAGGCTCTTTCAAAACATTCGTTCACCTTTTTCCCAAGTTAGGTTAGGCCATTTCCAAGTGACTTTGTTGGAACCCAACTTGTGGCAATACTTATCCTTTAACAATGAATTCCCAAATCACTTTAGACATGTTCACAACATATGTTAGTTATGTTTGCAAGGTAGGTTAGGGAATTTCCAACTGAGGTTTTTAGAATCCAATCTGTGGCAAGACTTATACAAAAAAAGAGAGTTCCCAAGTCATGTTAGGACATTTCACATTATACGTTAGCTACTTTTCTAACTCAGGTTAGGAAATTCTCAGTTAAGGTTATCGGATCTCGATTTCTAACAAGTATCTTCCAATAAACAATCACACCCAAGTGGGGTTATTCATTTCACAACTTATAGTAGGAATTTTTCTTGCTTTGGATATAAAATTGCCAACCAACATTATTGGTTCCCATTATCTAACAAGTCTCTTAAATTTTGAAATACTGCAGAAAATTTTAATCCCAAGTAAGGTTCTATGTTGTCACTAGTTACATTAGCAATATCCCTATACTACATTACTGAATTCAACAGTCTTATGCCATGACAGCATTTTTACTCGGATAAATTTAGACCTAAAATTTTCATCAACTTTATATTACACTGATTGCAATACATGTACACCAAATTTGCATCCCTTTTTACCCAAAAAATATCCCAGCTATCTAAATGGTACCTATGCAGTCATTATCAAAAAAAAACATAGACTGCAATCCCATTTACATAACCTATCACCTCCACAAGTACAAAAAACATATGAGGTGGCTGCCTGTACAAAAGGTCATTCAACAGCAAAATGCACAAAATAAATAAAAACCATATGCATTTCAATTTTAAACTAACTAATATGCATGTGGTTTTCATCCCCTTTCAATCCCTACATTGGATTGGGATTCCTACATCTATTCTTGGTATACCCAACTTGATTACATCTTGAGCAATGATACACTTTTTTATTCTGAAACTGTGACTCTCTTCGCTTGGTAGGTGGTCGCCCTGGGAGACGTGTAGTCAGTGATGGTTCCAAAAAGGTATTCTTTTCATAACCTTCATAATGTAGCTCGGTCAACTGAGGCATGTCAATGGTTTCCACTAGAATTATTGTGGAGCTGTAAATTTTTTCTTATGCATGAATAGTGTAGCATTCTTCAACATATGAATACACATTACCCTGAACTAATTTTATTGCTGCACATGCATATGCACAACGAATTCCTACCATTTGCCATTCTTGACAAGAGCATTCTCGCAATGTTAGATTCACTCTCAAGTCATTGTTTCCTACCTTCACTAGTATCATATTCACACTATAATGTTCAGCCACCATAACTTCAGCTCTCAATACATTCTCCCTCAATTTTGCCTCAGCACAGGTCTAACTCCATTTGACTAATTTGCCATTTCTATCTTGCTATTGTATAGCTTCCTCGCTAATTTTGCTCGGTGCTCATTTATCAACGCACATATATGATGTTTTCTCTCTTTCACTAACCAAGCATTGAAAGATTCAGCATGGTTTGATGTTATATTGTCCCATCTTTTGTATGGAAATCTTGCTAACGCCCAACGATCTATGTCCCCATTTATTTCTAACTATCTTACCAACTGTAGGGTTAAAACCATCAAATGACCCATAGCAACATGAAATTCTGTTTCCAACCTTGCATATGCAATATTATCCAACAACTTAAGTGCATCTTCCTTGGTCATCCCATCAATCCTTCGCATGCCTCTATTAATTTTTGTAAATTCTGAGCTATAATTTTCTTTGACATGACAATAACAAAAAGCATGTCGATTGCCATCAAATATTGCATGCACTGCGCCAATAATAGCATTATGCCTGTCTGACACTATGGTCAATTGAACTTGGTGTGTGATCTCTCTTACATTTTCAAGAAACCAAGCCCAATTATCATATGTTTCTCCACTCACTATTGCATAAGCCAAAGGAAATAAGTCATTATTTGCATCAATTACAGAAGCTGCTAGCAAAGTCCCCTTATATGGACCACTTAAATGACTTTCATCGACAAACAAAATTGGACGAGCACCTTGGAGAAACCCTTTGATGCAGCATCCATATGCAATAAAAAGTCTATCAAATCTATAATTTGTCGAGGCAACCCATTTTGCAACTGTGTCTGGGTCCGTCTCCTTCAATTTCTCATAAAGCCATGGAATCAACATGTATGACTTTTGTGGAAGCCCATGTATTTCCTCCAATGCTCTATCTTTTCCCCTCAAAGCTTGCCGATATGTGAGATTTAACCCATACTCTTTGTAGAGGTCTTGTCTAATCTCATTTGAAGTTTTCTCCACATTCCCCCTCACAGCATCAATGATGATTGATGATGTCAATCTTGAGTTAGCCTTTTGCTTTAATAGGAGGTTGTCTTGAACAGAGTGTATGTGTTCATTGTGGAATTTGTTCACACACAATATAGAGGTTGTCTTCCCAAGAGCATAAGCTGATATCTTCTATTTACAACCATCAATATTGCATTTGACAATCATCTTCTTATAGCTGTTTCTCATAAATATGTAACCAAACCTATAAGCAAGGCTGTATTTATATAGTGCTTTTCTGAATACAATTGCATCATCAAATGTCTGGCCAACACCTATAAATAAATCCTTCCATTTTACCGAATTAACCTCAGGCAGTGGTGCAAGAGCATTTTGTGTTGAACATGGCAAAGAGGGTGATATACTTTCAAGCTCTTGCCTATAGGGAGATCCTAGCAGTGACTATGTTAACAAATTCTCCATCCTACATTTACAATTACTTACAGGTCAATATAAATGGTCATTAAACTAATTAAACACACAAATAACTAAGAATAACAACTTACTCCATCGAGTTATCCATTGCTCCATTTATTTCATTATCATTTGTCTCAACATACACATGTGCTAACTCATCATTATACTTTATCAAATGTTGTACTCCCTCATCGTCTAACAAATCTATATATTTGTTTTCACTAAACTTCACTGTAAATTTCAAGTCAGCTACACCACTTTCAACTCTTGTCACTGATGACACCATCCTCAACAGCTCTTCATGATTTATGCCTTCTCTAATCAATTTAGAAATTAATCTCCCACCTTCATAGGTCATCTTCCCTTGTAAATCTTTTACAAAATGTCCATCAACATGAAGATAACAAAATACTTCTTTTGCTAAAGTAGTTGCCATATGGGAAATAAACCTGGAGCAACTACAAGTAACATACAAATTTAGTACTTCACAACTGTCCATTCCATAATCCCAACCTTGACTACATAAATTTAGCATTCATGTTACATTTTTCAACATTCACGCACTTTTCAACACAAATTATAAAAATTCAGCATACATGTTACATTTTTCTTATTTTTCACTCCTCAACTTTTTCAACTGTGTCGTTCTCGAAAATCATTTTTTCCGCATGTCTATATATAAAGTCTAGTAATCATTAAGAAGACTACTTTTTTCCTAAGTATAAAACAAAGAGAAATGTTGCAAGACAGCATTTGCAAAGATTAAAACTTTCTTTCTGTGCATACATGGCAGAGGATATGTAAAAAAAAAGAAAATAGAGCAATGGAAGAGAAATGGAAGAAAAAGATGCAGACTTCTCTTCCATGCATGGCAGAGGACGAAATGTAAAAGAAGCAATGCATACAATTACCTATTACAAGACGATTATGCTCCACTAATTTTTCCCTAACATTTTCAGTGCACGAGAGCACACTCCATTAGTATTTTTCCTGCCGAAAAACAAGAAAACAGAGCACACGAGATGAGCTTCTTTCCTGTTACCTTTCAATGTTTAGTGAGGGGGCAATTTTGTAAACTCAAGTTTGTTTTTTATCCCACTTAAAGACCATGGTCTTTAATTAGGATTTCTATTTTTAGGATCCCTAATTAGAATTAATGTCCTTAAGGGATCCTCAATCGTCATTCTGCTTAAAAAATATAAATCTTTATCATTTTAAGTCATCAAGATATTCAAATATCTTTTATTTTATGTAGAAATTAATGATTAAAAAAATAAAAAATAAAATTAAAAAGTTATAACATTATAAAGTGTATCAGAGAAGGAGAGAAGGCGACGTTAAAAACCTTGACCCAACAATCGCGTTTCCCTCCTCGCTCTCCATCCATAACTTCTTCTTCGCCACCCTCCATAACTTCTTCTTCGCCACCCTCCATTTCTACAACTCAGGGAGCACCTCACAAGATTACCTCAAGCTTCCTCTTATCCACAAGAACTCTCCTGCACCAGATCAAGAAGCCGAAGAACTACTCTTCTGTTTCATCATCTTCCTCATCTTCACAGGGGCTTCTATGCCGCAGAAAACTACATTTCTTGTTCGAGTTCCACAGCAGAAGCAGACAAGGAAGGTGGCCTTGAGAAGCTTAGCAGATCATCAGCTTCTAAGAAGCTTGGAGGATGGCAGGTCATGCCTGTTATTCTAGGCCCTTAATGATCTGTCTCTCTTTACTTTATATATGTATGTGTCTTTTACAAAGATGAATGCGCGAGCGCGCGCGCTAGCAGAGAACTGAACGTTTGAGAGGCTGGCAATGTTTGGGTTTTGGTGAACCATTTGGTCTGGGATCACCAACTTTGCTTCTCTCCTCGATGCCTTCATCTCTGATGCTTATGTTCAAGACCATTGCCTTTGCTTCCCTTGCGTTGCTTACATTTTGGACCAAGCCTAACAGGTGAAAATTGATCTTCCGTTCTCGTACAAATCAGGTTCGTGTTTAGCTCTGTTTCAAAGATAGAAAACAGAGGTTGGCGATACTGATCGTTTCAGACTAAGATTTACTCTTCAAACCCATTTTATATGCTTAATGAATTAGGGACTCATTAAGAATAATAAATTAACTGTATGACCACCTTTTCATGTGCTTTAATGGATTGCTAGGCTTGATTTGTTCACAAGTCCCAAATAGTCAACTTATAGTCTTCTCCTATGGACCCAAATAAATTCTCATTCTTTATATGCCATGATAAATCTTCAACCACATTTTCATGTTTCTGAAGTAACATTCACGAGTCCAAATTCATAATCAAGCATCAGATAATATGGCAAGATGATCAGTGTTGCGTTGAGTACGTTCTCTTGAAGGGAAGCTTATATGTCCCACAAGCAAATCGTATGATAATGGGAACCACAAAAAAGATACCCCTGCTTAAAGGGTCTCCAAGACAAACCATACCCCTCATTGTCATGACCTCTCAATCTCAAATCAGAGTCACAACGAAGTGCTTGCTGCTTCCCGAGCTGTTTGGCAGAATCGAACATATAAACCTCGAAGCTACTAGTTTTGGTACCAATAACATTCGTTGTTTAGCAGCATGCACCTCGCTTGATTCACCTACCCCTCAACAGCAATCCTTGAAGCGATTTCTATCTTCAAAAGAATTTAACAAGAAAAGCAAAAACTAATAATGAGTCAAACTGATGGATTTTATTCGACATTTGGTGCGCCCGTGATCATGAGATGCGCGTGTGGACGATGGGAGACCGGAGGAAGATGAGAAACGTATTTGCAATTCAGGATGGGCCCACGATTAATAAAGTAACAGATGTTTGATAATTAGCGGTGATACTACCATTTAATTAGTTCATTAATTATTTTGTAAAACCCCATAGTACAGAATATTAGATGTACCTTGAAAAATACTCTTTTTATTTTTATTTATAAAAAAATTATATCACACAATTTATATTATATTAATTATATTTAAAAATAAAATAATTAGATGAAAATATCATTTATTAATTATATTAATCAAATCTTCATTAATTATTTTTTATAACTGTTAATAATAAAATTATGAGAGGTAATTTAAAAAAATTGTAATAAATGCTAATTGAAAAATATAATTTTTTTATATATAAAAAAAAGGTGATAGTTTCTCCTATAAATAAAAATGGAGGAAATAGCTCATAGTAAACGATATTATATGTTCCTTAAAAAATAATTCAAAAATAAATTTGACTATCCATATCAAATCTGCACTATCTTAATTGATGATAAATTATTTATTAAAAATATTTACATAATTTTTTATTTAAACAAATATAAAATATAAATATGAATATAAAAAAAATTTAAAACTTGAATCATTTAAATTTTAAGTTAGATGGTCCAGATCTCATAATGGTGATGAGCATCATGTTGAGCACGGAAGATGGGCCACCTATCCAACTATTACTATCAAAGTTTAATGAATGGTGTCATTAATGGATGGAACTAAAGTCAGTAATTCAAGTAAAGCTCAATTGATTATATATTTCATATTTGATAACATTATTATACATATTTTTTAAAAAAATAAAAGATATTAATATTATTATATTTTTATTATTTTAATCCATAAAATATCTTAAAATAATATTTAAAATGTATTTTAATCTTTATTTTTAAACTTTAATACCCACAATTTTTTTAGAGTCTTTTACATTTTTTAAGTATCCCAAAAAAACATATTTTATACTTTTTTTAATGATAAAAATTTAATTTTAAAGTAAAGATTGAAATATGTTTAAAAAATGTTTTCTTTTGTCAATTTGGATATTCGGCCTAGCTCAAATAAGCCTAAAATCCAAGAATGTTATGGTTGAATTTAACTATATAGGCTTGTTTATAAGTTTGAGCTTATTCAGACTAGCCCTATCTCCCTAAATTACCTATCCCACATGCAACTATATTTTTTTTTTAATACAAGGCCATGGAAAAATCATATAAGGAAAAAAAGTCAAGTCATATCAAAAAATATTAGGTCTCTGCATCTTTAGGGTGGGTTATTGTAAATAACAATATTAAATTGTCTCTCGATACCTGATGAGCAAGGAAATCAAGACACCTATTCGCTTCTGTAAAAATATGGTCAAATGTGATGATCCAATCTTTCATGGCAAAATCTCTAATTATGTTTTGATTCATGTTATACTAGAGAAAAAAAATTAATCTGTCCAGACTGAAGGAGGATCTTGGTAGCGTTTGGGGTATATCAAATTTTGAATTGGTTGATCTGCCAAACAACTATTTTTCATTTCACTAAGGATAAAAATAACTAGAAGTTGCATTCTAGGAGGGTGTTATGTGAAGGCTTGAGTGGTTAGACATCATTGTGTTCTAATTTATTTCAATCCTTATCACAATCTACTGGATTGTATCGTTGCTTGGGTTTGCATTCCCATCATTCCAGTGTACTATTACAACAACCATTTAATCTCAACGTTAGGTGCCAGAACTAGTCGGACTCTTATGTCCTATTTAGTACAGAGAATTGCTTTTGATAGAGGTGGAAGTGGAAATAGAGGTGAAAGTGAAAGCAAGGTTTAAAAGTATGCTTGGAATGCAAATGGAAATGAAATAAAAAAAATTATATTTTGAAAAGACCAAAACACCCATAAAATAGAAAAAAAAAATGAAACTAGCCACCACCAATCAAATCTTCAAACCTCTGGCAACCCACACCCGAATCTTCAAGACCCATTCATGACACTACAATTCAATCCAATGAACCAAACTATTAAAGAAAATTAAAGAATAAGATAACTCTTAATTCAAAATAAAGAATAATATTAATTTGATCCTATCTCAATCCACACCAACAGAATGCAAAATAAAGGATTCAAAAATTGATATTAAATCCAAACCTTTGACTACCCATGCCTACAGATTCATATCAGGAAAAAATGAATAAAAACAAAAAAAAACAAAACAAAACAAAGTTCATCCATGGCTACAGCTGAACAAATCAAACAAAAGGAGCCAGCAATCAACGCACAGATCTGGAGATGCAACGAAGGCAAAAATTGAAGAAAAATGTATTAATATTCAATTTGGAGATTGAAGAGGAAATCTGTAATATCCTCCTTTTCTAACCCTGATTAACTCCAAATCTTAATTAATTAAGGGATTGAATTAAGGTAATTAACATAATACCAATTACAAATAGGTGGAAGAGTTGGAATCCCAAGTTTTCAAAATTAAAACCATTCCCAATTACCCTTGAAAGAAACAAATTAAAGTTCACTAATTATGCAGAAGTATGTGATTATTTCAAACATTAGTGCATTTACTAAAAAATTAGAAAAAAAAGTGATTCTACAAAAACTAAGGCGTGCGTCACGGCTCGTTAAACATGCGCATTGGCGTGTTCGTCTCTATGCCATGCGCCATGGTGTATTGCATGTATTATGACAGCAACTCTGCTGTCAATTTGACAGCTACTAGGGCAAATTCCAATGCTCTTTATTCCTCCATCCGACGTCTGATTGATGAGAACTAAGTATCTATAAAAAAACTTTTTTCAAGCTCTAACTAATGGCTTTGGTCTCATATTCAAATTATTACCCAATCAAAATTTGAATACTCTTTTCAAAAATTGCACTTTTTTAACCTTTTTCACAAAACAAAGTGTCTAACTCATTTACCAAAAGCCAATAGCTATTAACACCACTTAGATCATATGCAATACACCAAAATTAACTTGTGCAATACACCATATCATATCAAATACTTATAATTCACAATTTTCCTACTCAACCCATTAATCTCAAAAGCATAGTAGAGGGAGTTTAAGCACGTTTTTTATCAAATATTTTATACACATCACACCATATGCCTAACTCTTACTTGCATTAATATTTTAGCCCTATCATAGTTTTCACAATTCATAAACTCATTCTCTAGGACCCAAAATATACTTATAACTCACAAAACACATAATGCAAGTAAGAATCAAAATGGACTATTCCTAGTTGGCAATTTTAATTGTCATATGCACATAAAGACTCAAAATAAAGAGGTCTACTAAATAGGATAGTAGTCTTAAGCCTCTAGTTGCTTTCCTCTATCCAATTCTCTTGAGCTATTCTCTATAATATTGAAGATAATGGGGTGAGTACAACCACTCAATAACCAAGGCCTAACTAACTCATACTAATGCATGTCAATTAATTTAAATGTAAGTGGCAATTGAATAAACTAGCTCAAATATGAACATACTCACAAATTCAGTTTATTCTTTTCCTTTCTAATAGAACATTCAAATACGATAATTATCAATATTAGATCATATAGCATATTTTCAAAGTAGCAATCCACATTTCCCAATCACAAATAATACATTCTCAAAGTATACAATTCAAATTAATGGCCTTTCTCAAAATACAAAGCTTTCA